ATTCGGTTCATCAAGCTAAATTTCTGGATTAGGGGAATTTGGCCAAGGAAAGAGTGATGCTATACAAAAGCCGTTCGGTCATTCGTGTCTCTTTCTCCGCCACACACACACACACACACACACATTCATACTATTCAAATGACACTATTTTGAACAGCAATGCAATGATCAAAGATAGGTTGCCGTAAGACTTTCCAACAACTCAAGATTCGCAGAATTCCGCCTGTTTCATCAATAGCTTAGTCGAATAAGGAATCTTCACGCAGAAGCAAAGAATGAAAAGATGTTCATTTCACCTGGCGAGGCGGCTCCTTGGATACATCAGAAGGAGAGCTCAAGCTCGCGAGTTGGTCAAGAAAGCCCAATCCCGGGTAGTTAGGGATCATGACCCTGGCCACCATAGCAATAATTCTCCGCTTGAGAGATCAACTGGCGTTTACCATTGGCCCCACACGACCGGGGGGTGAGGTCAGAGATCGCTGGGTCTTGGTTGGTGTTTCACAAAACGAAGCTGAGAGATCTGGAGTTAATTTCCATCTTAGGTAGGTCAGCTTAAATCTTGCGGGCTCGGGCGGCTTTCCAGCCTGATTGATCTACGTCAGAATCAACGATGAATACCTGGAAAGCGGTCTCCTCGTACAAAACGAGTACCTCAATACCGTCATCTGTCTTGGATCTTCACCAGGAAGGTCGTACAGAGAGGCGACGGAAATTCTGGTGATCCTCCTTTCTAGATTGAGTACAGTACAAGATGGAACGCTAGTTCTCGTGGAATGATGGCTTGTTTGCCCCTCCGATACCGAAGTAGTAATTTCGTGCTCACGAACGACCTTTTAGCTATATTCTCCGCCGTATAGCATCGCTGGTCAACCATTAGAGCACCAACTAGTTAATTGCTCCGCACGATCCGGATGGGGGATCCATGCCCACTACGGAGTGTTGCGAACTGTGAACGGAGGCGCGCGTACCATCATCAATATAGTGATCTTGATGGATCGATGGAGACGGTGAGAGGCATGAGCCGCCACCTTCTGGACTGCCAGGCCTTCATCTGAGTTGTTCTTTTGGCCATGTCTTTCCACGTTTCCCGCTCTTCATCGCTTTTTTCTGAAAAGAATTGCCTCAGAAATTGAATCCGGGGTCCAGACGAATCGGTGTAAGTCACAACCCGGATTTCAGGCGTGTTCAGGCGCAAGGGCAATGAACAACGGTGACCGACAAGAGCGAGAAGCTGGAGAGAAGGACGAAAAAAGTGACTCCAGGCCTCACCGCTGGTTTCATCGCGATGAGAATGACATCGAAAGTCTGATTTGGGCAAGAAGGGGGGATCAAAGGGAGGGGGGCGGAAGACTGTCATTTGACTGACAAGCCCTATCATTCCAGCTGTCCATGCTCGGCTGATGGCGCCAGGGCTGGTAATAGGCCCGGGAAGCTTCTTCCTGCACTTGCTGCAGCACCTCCTCGCAACCCCTTGCGTGTAGATAGTGGAGAAGAGGTGCAGCGACGATGTCCCACTTGGGCGGCCCAACCCCACCTTTCTTTTGTTGTTGCTGCTTGCTGTTCGGTCACTGGCCTATGAATTATCCTCGACGGACTCAGAGGTACTGTACGGATAGCGCGCCTCCATTGTTCGAACAAGGTCTTGTCTTTCTTTTGTTTCCTTTCTCCCCTCTTTCTTTCTTTCTTCTTTTCCACCCTCCATGACTCGTGGTGGTGGGAGCAATGAAGAATGAAGCTGACAGGCCAGGGACAAATGTCGTACAGGAAGTGGATGAGAAGACGTGGTCCTCAGTAGGAGTGGTGGTGGCGGAGGTGGAGGTCTAGAGATGACGGAAGGGGGGAGGGGGGAGTGTGCCCTTCCCACTGAAAGCTCTCACGTTCTTTCTTCTTGATCGGCCTTCTCTACCTCGAGAATCAAGCGAATCTTTGTTGCTGCTCTTCTTGTACTGTTAAGCGCGTCTACCAAGTTAGCTTTGCACGTCCTTCTCGAACGTTCCAGATTACTGTAACATTCCACTGTTTCTCTATTCTGTCAAGTCTGTTGCTGCCTCGTGTTCATGTGCTCTGATCTCGACTGCTGATTACCGGAATAGAGAAAACATCATCCAGCATACCACATGCTTCAGCTTACATCCAAGTCAAAACATGGCCTTCCTGCCGGCAATTATGCAGGTATAGGGCGGAGGGGAGCTTCACTGTATGCACATCGAAAAAGCACAATGCGCTGCGCGGTCCGTGTTGAGTCTGACACGAACTATGGACGATGTGTGGGATGAAGAGGATGATCCTGTGGAGATAAGTCCAGGGCTAAAATTATGATCGGCCTGTGGATGCTAACTGCAGTCTGTATTGTACCTACTTACACAGTAGGTACTACCCTACCAAAGCTCTGACAACTTGGCTACAACCCTGTCAAGTTTTCCTAGAGACTAGGTTCGAGAGACAGCTGAGAATTAAGATGTCAGTGAAATACCATCGGACCCCGGTTATTATCCCGTGTCAGGTATCATTATAAGTACTCCGTACGGAGTTAGAACTCAAATGATGGGACAATCAAAGGCCGAGAGGGAACCAAGAGGGAAGGGAAGGGGAGTCCGCTACGGACGGGCCGACTCCCGCAGCCGTCGTACATACATACTTACATACAAGGTTACATACCAACTTACCTACCTGCGGGGTCCAGCCCGGTCAATACCTATGTACATACTCATTCGTAGGTATAGTCACCTTTATACTCTCCCGATTCGGAGAATTGGCTTGCGTAGGACAAGATATAGATAGGAGATAGTAATATAGTCCCAATTGGGAATCAATCTTCCCCAACAATATAGCAAAAGAGCGGAATAAGACAAATTGAGAGAGAAAAAGAGAGGGAAACAAATGAGAAATGAATAGGGGGGTGCAGAACAACACTCATTCCCAGTTCAAGTCGGAGTTACAGGGAGGATTTAACCATAGGCACTGAGGCAGGCATACAATAGTGCCGTTACATAAGTAAGTGTCAAAGCAAATCAGTTTGACCTCAAGTATTCTCCCAGTTGGCAGGCATCCTAGCCGCCTGTCATTAGCAGGCAGAGGTAGTTAGCAACAGCAGCATCAATCAGCATCATTCATTATCATTACTACAGACTATTATTGTATCTTCCCACCGTCAGCGGTCCAGCCCAGGGATCATTGATGGCTCTGCGCTAAGTCTGCGCCTGATCAAGCTTGGAGGCTTTTTTAGTTCATTTAGTTAGGTCCATTTAGCTTGATGGGCTAAAGATTTCCATCCAGTGCACACCAATGATCTCTTCCGATTCCCACCATTAATTCATCTCGGCCTACTCCCTCTCTTTCAGTAGTTTCCCCTCCCCCCTCTCCCCGCCCGCCCCACTTCATTGGAAATTCCAATCAGCCAGATGGTTGGCAATTGACATTTCACCATTGACACTCACTGACTGTGACACACTGACAGAAAAAAAAAAGACTAACAGACTAGCGGCTCACTAAAAAGTGAACGGGCTCAACGGAGTCAACCGCCGGCCCCTTCAGCATCCGGGCCTATCCCTGCCACGCTAGGACGAACTGCGTAAATGCACGGGGATCAAATCAGATCAATCACGGCCGGGGATCGCGCGCCGTCTTGCTCATTCGATGCACCATTCAGGACGAAAAGGCTTGGGGCTGATTCGTGATGACCGGTCCGGCTGTGTCTCGCTTTCCTCGAAGGTGAGGAATTATTCCGGGTGCAGATGTGGGGAACGAATTCGACTCATTCGCTGCTGTCCTCCTATGAGTGCGTAAGTTACACTCTAGTACGATAGCCCAAGGATTCTTCTACTTTCAAGATTAATCTCCTTCCTAGGATGTAGCTTTGGGTCGATTCAGTCGGACTGGTCACTGGCGTAAGTAAGGACTATACTGACCATACTCAGTACTAATTAACTTTTAGGAAGGTTGCGTTGGGCTAGCCATGATTTTACCTGTCAAATCCTCGGCTGTACCTGCAGCTGCCATGCAAGCGCAAGCAACGAACCACCCTTCCAGGTTGCCTCGCGCCTAGTCTAAGAATTCTTCAGCTGTCTGACAATTCTTCTCCGTACCCTACAGACTTCCAGCCGGATGCACAACAGTGCAGCTCCGACGATGACTAGCACGGGTGGGGAAACTGACCGGGAGCTCCGACTTTCTCCTTCCTCCCTCCCTCATTTTCCATCCGCCCATCCGGGGCTGAGAGGGTTCGAGCCGATGCCATCGATAACGAACTAGCAAGTAATAACCCCCTTCACTGTCTGAAGACCCCTTCGGGGGGGGGAAGGGCAAAGACAAATCTCCGCCTGCAGTGCGACCTATGCATTAACTTAATGATAGGCGATGCGGGAATAACCGATCAAGAGAACGGATTCCATCTGAATTCTTTGTTCCGACCGGACCGGACAATTTGCACCACCACCACATCATTCTCGTATCATCAATCTCATAATCAACTTCAAGTACTACTGTACTCTCCGGTCTCAGAAGACACGAATACCGTGCGGGTCATCGAGTCGAGAAGGGTTAGGGAATGGCCCCCAAGGACATCAGCTCCGAGCAGGGACTAATTTTACTCCATTCGTCCACCGGCCGGCGCTTACAATACCTGATTTCGCGCAGGGATTCAATGACCGGAATGTTAGTCGATTTTTGCAATGATACTGCGGCCTATCTTTGCGATTGGCTCTACTTACTGAGTATTCCTCCTGCCCTTACCGTATTTGTTCGGCACTTGTCGAAGCCGCCCAGAAGTCCTCGATCCTATCGACCGACCATAACAACCCAGCTCAGACCGAGTCGCCTTTCTTCGTCCATCCGTGTCCGACTATTGAGGGCCGCCATGGCTATTACCAATGAGCCAATCAAAGGTCGCCTACGGCCTTAAGATATGTTTCTACTGTTCTTTGGGGCGAGACGGGTAAATCCTTCATCATCTGATGATCCGAAGTCGCTTTTCGGTGGTGGAGGGCGGGCTGCACGCAGTAATTAACCTTACATTGCATGTTCCGCCGAGTTACCCGTGCACGATCGACTGCGCAGGTGGACTGCCTTGCGTTAGATTAGTGGAGGACCAGGAAATTGCGGATGTGGGATCCTGCTCGCCATCTTCTTGCTCACTGGCTTTCTTTCTTCCCTTCCTTCTTTCTAACTGTGGTCTTTTTCCCAGATCCCAAGAATAATTCTACAGAGCAAGATATGCTTACTTTCCAATCTGGTAATCCTGAGCGATCTGGATTCGATACACAGGGGGCCTTGCCTGGGCCAATTGCGACCTTTCGATCCAGAATATTGTACGGCATGTCACGATGGCATCATCCCATACCCCAAAAAGAGGGTGTCACAGACACACTGAGAGGTGTAACACATACATGGTGGCGATGGTCGGCCACCGGGCTGAGGATCCATGTCCCCGCGACACGGACCCCTTCTCCTCTTTCCCCCCCCCCGTTAATCATCCAAGAACAGCATCTGAGCTACCTATATTAGGGGACAATTAAGACTCTTCGGATTGGCCAAGTTTGATTATGCATTGATTGGCAGCAGAGGCAACCACGTATGTGCTGGCAAGGACATCTACTAAATCTTTCTCTCTCTCCCCTCCATCTACTATTTTTCCCTCTTATTCTTGATTTCTTTCTTTTTGTCTTTTGCCCCCTTTTCTTTTTTTTTTCTTTTTCTTTTTTTCTCTCTTTCTTCTCCCTTCCGTCTTTCATTTCTTGCCTTGCACCCGTCTACCGTTGATACCGGCAGCTGGAGAACATGGCTGGCTGTTGCAGTGCCTTCAATTGAATGACTGGCTGACTGACCGCTTCTCTTCTATGCCATCCTTGCCGCTCCTCGCGCGTCTGTGCCAGGGTCGGTTTCAGCTGCAACGACCCGTGATGCATATGCGGACGCAGGGTTGGGTTGGCCGTTTTGCGAGGACAAGTCGCTAGCATACCCGGAGGTGGTGTTGGGGATGTCGTTTCTGTACTCCCCCGCTAGGATTCTTTTGATCTCTTCAGTTTGTGACCCTTTGCACAACTGTCGAGGATTGAGCTACAGCACGTAGTGTAGTAGTGTGTGCACATTCCAAGGTGACATACATATGTATGTCACTTCCATAGCGGCCGATCCACGGCCCCTCTCTGGAGGGGACGATCTGCCCCTAATTATAGCTTGTCCAGCTGATCAATGGTGATTGAAGTCGACCATCCATCAGCCATTCATCCTTCCATCCCTTGATTACACCACTGGCCGCCCACCCAGCCACGCATTCGCCTCGCTTCACCGTCTTTCTGCTGCTGCTGCTGCTGCCGCCGCCGCCGCCGCTCTGGAATGCGTGCGTTGTGCGCCGTGAAGCCGGATTGATTGGAGTATTGAGATAATGGCGAAGAGGAAGTCCTTCTTTGTCAATTGCCATCTTAGCACGCATTCTGATTGGAGGTAGACTCAGGCAGTGAGGTGGTGTCGCGCTGCGATGCGATGTACTGTAACTTTATTGCTATCTGGAAAACGATTGCATCAGTGCTGCCCACGGTCAGTGATATATAGATCACAGCTGTGTTAGTACATCTGAGTAGAAAGGTTGTATTTTTTTTGTTTTGTTTTGTTTTGTTTTTTTTTTTTTTGCACACCAAGAATCATGTTGAGGATGTGCACACTATGAAGGGAAGAATGACCCATTTCGTACTCATTCTCCTCATCTCAGTACCAGTAGGCAAAAAGTTGATTCCCATTATTGCCATTGTACAGTAAGTCAACGATAACGACCTAGCCAGCTTATCGATAAGCCCCGACCCGCCCCCAATCATCACATGACTACATCCCTCCCTCTCCGCCTACGCAACCAACTGCATCCATGGATCGTAAACAAAAACATTCTTTTTCATTTTGAAACCTTCGACACCTAATCGACAAACCACCAAAGTCCAAACGACAAAAGCTTCCAGCCCCCCTCAACTTACAGCCGACAGAATATACCCACGCGTACTTGATTCTGCAGAGAAGGAAACCCCCAAATCTAGCCAATCTGCGCCTTCTCTCGGGAAGTAGCAGAAATCAAAAAGCGCAACTTGCAAGGGAGGGGAGGAGTTCCGGCCTCCAAAAAAAAAGACAAGAGACAATGCCACCACCACCACGTTCCAAGGGATCCACATTCAATCCGAACCCACAACCTCGAGCCCGCTTTTTCGACGTCTTCAACTCCGCCTCGACGGGTCATCAGGTTGCCGATGGCGGCGGCGCCCGCGGGCGCGAATGGCGGATCACCCGGCAGGAGAAACTGGCGCGGCAGTTTGGGTCCAGGGATGGGGATTGCACTTCTTCGCCTGTCTTGACACCTGTTGCTGCTGCTGCGGAGGGAATAGGGGATGAGGGTGGGGAGGAGGAGGAGGAGGCGGGGAGGGGAGAGTGGGTGTTTGCTGCTGCTGCTCATTCCGATTCTATTTGCTCTGGGAACAACAACAACAGCAGCAGCAGCAGCAACAGCAACAGCAACAGCAACTACTCCAAAAACGTCGGTGCGGGATCGCACTTTGCTGCTCAGCAGCACTCGCAATTGCGCTCGGCGCATAATGGGCCGAGACATGTCCAATTGGGGGTCCGGGCTTCCTTCTCATCGACATCAACGGGCCAGATGGATATACGAAATATGTTTGGTGGGCAGGTTCGCAAACGAGGATACCCTGAGGCTGTGAGTGATGGCTCTGGTGGTGGTCAATCCAGAGCAATTGGGATGAAGAAAGCGAAGGTGCAGACGCAGTATAGCCTTGACTGGGCTACAGAGATAGCACCGGCAGCAGCAGCAGTAACGACGACAACAGCAACAAAAGGAGATGTATCTGCGCTACCCCTCATACCCACTTCCTTCAAGTCTCATCCCACACCTACACCTTCCATCACCTCGACGACCACGACCACGACCACGATCAAGAAATCAACAACACCAACACTTCCCTCAAAGACATCTGCAACGACCCCTTCTACCTCATGCGAAACTATACCGCCATCCCTGCATATCGAACCCATGAACAACAAAAAGATCTTCAGCTCCCTCACCATCCACATCAACGGCCAAACAACCCCTCTCATCTCCGACCACGCTCTCAAGCGCCTCCTAGTCTCTCAAGGAGCTACCCTTAGCCTCTCCCTCTCTCGGAAGATCACGCATGTCATCATTGGAGTCCCCAATGCGGGACCGGGCAACGGCGGCGCGGGAGGTGGACTCGCCGCTAGCAAGATCCAGAACGAGCTCCAGCGCGGAGGATGGAAGGGGGTGAAGATTATAGGGGTCCAGTGGTAAGTTTGCCTGCCCCCCTTTACGCCCCTCGCATATGTCACCCTGTCTTTCAACAGGGGAATCCGAGTTAGGAACGGTGTAAGCAGTAAGTTAGGTAAGTAGGAAATACCCGTGCTGATTGAGACAAAAAATAGGGCTTTGGATAGTATCAAGGCTGGGAAGCGGCTCGTAGAAGGTAGGTATGCGGTTCAGTTAGGAGGGAGGCAGAAGAGTGTGCTTGGGTTCTGCTCCTCGTCATCTGCGGCAATGACACCGACACCTGCAGAGGGCGTATGATGCATACATACACAATTGCTCCTGCAAGACATTTCCGACATTGACATTGACATCGACTACGACTCCATTCACCACTTGACTTTGAAAGATACCCACCCCATGCTGCAATTTGCGCGCCATCCTCACCAGGCCATCATACATTTGCACAAGCTTATCACGATAATGCGTTAATCTCAACAAGGATCAAACACGTACACACATACATACATTAATATATCCAAATCCTCATATATACATTATCGAGTTCATCAGTCATCATTTATATCATATATCATACCATTTGGCTCAGTTCTTAGATAAATGCCCCCTTCTTCCCTGGAAGACCTCCACTCCCTCCGCCACTGCTCCGTCCTGATTGATGTCTCCGCCAGCCCTCGCTGCTACCTCCTATCCCGCTCCCGCGGGTCGGCGGGGACGAGACGAATGTTCCCGCGCTACTGTCGGACTCGCGTCGTAACCCCGCCATTCCAATTGGCGCGTATGGATCAGCCAGCGGTTCTTCATCGGGCAGAGGGGGCAGCGGGTTCACGCGCAGTCGTGCCGGATACAGTGATTCGCTGGAGAATATGCGATGCGATTCAAGAGAGTCGGCTCGGTGGGATTGACCCGATGGCAACGGGTCCAGTCCGTCGTTCCAGATATCGTCGTCATCATAAGCACTGCCCAGGGCCTTCTCGTCCAGGTCATCCGATCTCGAATCCCCTCGCACCAGGCCAAGGCGTTCTTCCTCGGTTGCGCCCGACGAGCGGTGATAGTGGTGATGGAGGCCGCTCTGCCGTGAAACAGGACGAGCCGCAACAGGTTCGGGGCTACCGGCTTTCATTCGTCCGAGGACACTGGTGAACGAAAATTGCCGTTCAGCGCCTCCGTGCGGAGGGGGACTCGGAGGAGGAAGAGGGCGATTGTGATTCTCAGTATCGACCGATGACTTGATGGAACGGCCGTCTCGGCCGGCATAGTGAGTCTCGGGGTATTTGCGGATTGATTCCATGGCCTTTAGCGACACGGGATTAGCCTCCGAGAGATGCAACGGCTCTTTGTGTAGCGGTTGCCACGTCGGGTGGAAAATACTGTTCGCGCGTGAGCGGAGGTCATCTAGGAATGAACTGTTGCTCTGTGTCGTAGTCGGTCGGGGCGGTTCATCGTCCTCCTCATCCTCGCATTTCGACTCCTCTGGCACGCGGGCCATACCCAGCGGTGGAAGTGGATGGTGACGGACGGACGGGGTGCGTGTGCGAGCTGCCATGGTGGGACCCTCGCCGAGAACAGTCTTGCGCCGGCGCAGTCCATCCCATTCAACGATCTCATTCTCGGCCAGCGGAGTGCGTAGGTCCTCCTGGCGGTCGTGATAATAGCGGCGGGCTTCTTCGGCCTCCATGGTCCGGCGTGGGGTAGAAATGCGGCGGATGATGGCAGCGGCGCCGCGGATGGAGTCGGCCTTGGGCTCGAATTCGTGTTCTTCCTGCGTCGCAACCTCGCGGACCTGGTCCAAATCGCCCTTGAAAACGGCAGCATCGGGGACATCTTTGGCAGATTTGGATAGCTGCAGCAAGACCACGCCTGCGCAGATCTGTAGGAACCCGAGGACGACGGTGACGATTTCTTTGACAGAGCCGTGGAAGCCCTGAAACAAAACGGCGGAGGTGACGATGGTTGCGCTGGTGAAGAAGACGTAGTAGGTCGGAGTAACGAGGGCAGCATTGAAGATATTCAGTGCTTTCTGTATTCGGTCAGCAGACATTCATCTTGGGCAGGTGGGCGGAAGGAAGAGCACACACATTTAGATAAATGATTTCTGTCAAGAGCGTTGCTACCACAAACACCAACAGAACATACAAGAACCATTCCTTGAACTGCGACTCCCCATTGATCTGCGCCAGAATGGCCGAGCCCAGCCCCTGTGTCGCAACAACGCTCAGCCCCCCAATCAGCGAGCAGATACTGAGATACACGAACATGGACTTTTTCCCGTATCGCGGCCCCAGGTATAGTGCGACGAAGGTACACCCGACGATGATCACCCCGGCATAGGACAGAAACCCGGGGGTGATCACATAGTGTTTCATCTCCTGTATATCGCTGACGGACGACTGCTCGGGCGCATTGAGCGGGATCACCACGGAGCCAATAATGCAGCAGAAACAGCCGACCTTGCCGACGAAGCTAAGGCGTTCCTTGAGGAAGATGGCGGAGAGGATGGTACACACGACGACGGTGAGCGCGCCCAGCGGGGTTACCAGGATCGCATCAACGAACGCATAGGCTACGAAATTGCAGATCTCGCCGACGATCATGAGGGTCATCCCCCCCCACCAGTAGAGGTTCTTGAGGTAGCCGTACCCCTCGCCGGCCTCTTCGTTGTATTTGACATTGGCGCGGAGGAGGCCGATCTTCTTGAGGACGAAAGAGGTGCCGATGAAGAAGCCGGAAGCGACGGCGAGGCAGATACCGACGACTTTGTAGGAGGCGGGTCGCGAGGAAGAGGAGGAAGAGGCGGCGGAAGTAGTTGTTTCTCGTGCGGCCAAGAGGGCGGCTGTTGTGGTGTAGTTGTAGAGCGCTGTCATCGCTGCGGCGGTTGTCGTGGCAGCCATGATGATGGAGAAGAGGGCGGGAGAAAGATAAGGGAATGGGAAAGAAAGCGGTTCAGAGCGGAGAGAACCACATGGAGATGGGAGATGGGAGATGGAGAGGAAGAGAGAGGTGAATTGATGAAGACACACTGCCAGCAGTGAATGACTGAAATGGTGGTACCTAGTCAGCAGACAACCCCTTTTTCTTTCTTTTCCAATTGACCCTGTGCCTTTCCTGTGTATGGTCTCAGGCTGAGGTTGGGAGCAGGAAGGAATTCGGGGCGAAAAAGAAAGATCGAATATAATTAGACGGCGCTAAAGAGCGTGGGAAAAGAGCGTGGGAAAGACGGTGGCTGAGTTGCGACAACACGGGAATGTGGAGTGAGCCGGTGGGTGGGAATGTGTCAGGTTGATCACATAAACATTCTAATCTACTTGCCAAAAACTGGGGCTGTCTGGACTCTGGACACAAAAGAGCAGGAGCGATGTAGTAAGTAAATAAGTAAAGTTGCAGTGATGTTGATAGATATCTGTGAGTCAAATTTGTGGTCGTTGTAAGATAGACCGTCAGAAAATAAAAACAATAAGAGAGAGGCTGGGGAAGCACAAAGAAAGGTTGAGCTGCACGTGCAGCGGGTCTGTCTGTCTGTCATTTACGTACAGTACATTACATACTTCACTTACTCGATACCTTAATTACAAGTACAACATGACCTCTCAACAGATCTGGACAGATCTGGACAGATGTGGAAATATAATAGGAAATTCATTCACTCATTAGGGTATCCTTCGATTCAATATCATCAAGTCAAGTCCTCAGTCAAACTCCTCTCTGGCCTCCTTTTCCTCCAATATGCTTTCGACGGAACTTCTTCGGCTATCCTGACACCATAACATCAGCAGCCCCCCCTTTCTCCATTCCACAGAGTATTAGGCAGGTCATATCATAGAATCATCTCCCTCATCGAACATGATAACTCGGTTTCCGCTGCTTGTTCACCACGGGGGGTTCATCCATAGGATATGGCGGTCGGGTCTTCCCGCCCGCCCCGGAACATCCGTGGCCACTATTTGTCGTCATCGGAGGCATCACTGTCGGCATCGGCATGGGAATTCCCCCAAGTTCACTGGGATGGTCAGGATAAGGAATGGGGGTTTTCGGGGGCACGGGTGGAGGCATTTCTTCCCCGTTATGATGCGACGGCAGCTCAAAACTAGGCCGCGAAGATCCATGGGGACTTGGACTGGCCAGATCACTGCCTGAGCCACGCGCTGGGGACCCTAGAACTGCATCGTGCGGCGTCGGATGCGCGGGGAGTGTATCATCGGTCGCCGTCATCGGTCGTAAAACAAGATCGCCAGGCAATTCGGCGGGCAATTCCACCGCCATCGGATGGGGCAACGGAGGCTGCACCGACAGGACGGGACTGCCCAGGATGGAACTGGTCTCCTCGACTGCCTCATTCCCTCCAGTCGCCGCTGCATGGTCGGCCAGTCGTCGATGCTGTCGGTTGATTTTGGCAAATTTGACCCCTGCATCGAGGATCAGTCGCTTTACTTCTGGTCGAGTCAGATAGCGCCTTGTATTAGTGCTGATGTCCGCCAGGCGATTCCACTCGTTCATGCCGAACTCGCCTACCCCGACCTCAACATTCAATCGGTAATAGTTGTCCTGGCTCACGTTGCGCTTCGAAAGATGGTCGCGCAGCATGGCCACATGAATGTCTTCACAGCCCTCGATTTTGGCGATCAGTCGCCGACGTGCCTCCGCGAACGAGCCCAGCGCATCCCCGAAGAAATCCTCCCACCACTCGTGTTGGCGGTTGTTCGTGCCGGGCGGTCGCTTGCCGGTGCCGACGCTGACGAACACACCTACTTCACGGCCCGGCCACTCGTTCACCGTCGCTTCGTCCAATACCTGTGGCGCCGGATTATAGGTGCCGGCCCCTTCATCAATGAACACGTGTTGGCCGATCTGGATCGGCTTGAAAGCCATTCCGGTGGCCGAGGTGGCCCGACCGGCCTGCCAGATTGTACAATTGAACTCGGGTGGGGGCTCTTTGCGAGAATCGTATGAACGGAGCATGACAGACGACCCATTTCGGGTAGTACCTTTGTAGAGAGCGGTGACCGCGCTGAAGGAGTCAGTAGAGTCCATATGATAGTGGGAGCGCAAGAGGCCATACGTTTTGGTTCGATATTCCCGATTGTCATACAACAACGCATCCGGGTTTCCCCACCGCAAGCCGTTCACAAATGTAGAATTGCGATGACTGTTGTGACCGGACGAATGTGCCGTACTGGTGGTGCTGAAACTAGCGCGACTACCCGAGCGCTGCGGAATGGCGATCGCATTGGGGCTATAAGGGGCACCGGCGAGTGAATTTCGCGCGCTGCCGGGGGTCATGTCGTTCCCCTCGGCCTCGAAAACGGTATGTTCACGGACGCATTCGCGAATGGCCTCTTCGAGTCTGGAGGCCTTGAACAAGGTGGAGCGAAATGGGATGCCGGCAATGGTTTTGTCGGTTTCGAAGACCCGGCGGGTCATGCGCACATAGACTTCCTTGCAGGTTTCGAGGTCAAGGCGGAGACGGCCCAACATGAGGGCAATGAGACCGCCGGTTCCGGTACCAACGATCAGATCAAAATGGTCGCATGGTTTGGGAATCTCCTCACGACGAGGTGCCTTTCCTTCGCATTCAACGTAGACACGGTACATGAGTTCTTGGAGGATAATGAGCATGGAATAGCCCCGGACGCCGCCACCATCTGAGTGTTGAGAGCATAAGAGTTAGTATGAAAAGTAAGAGCCGGAGATAAATGCCCTACCTAGCGAGAGGATCCTCAAGGGAGGGCCCTTGGTGGTATCCTTGCGGCGGAGATTGACGGAGTAATCCATGACCCCGCGGGGTTGAGACACGCACGATCAGGCGGAAATGGTTGTGGTTGTAGGCAGTAGAGGAGAAAAGTAGTGCTCCTGAGGATCCTGGTGAGATGGCACAGAAATGAAAGTAGACAAGTGCTGACCGAAGATTGGATGAAAGATAATGGTGGGAGAGTGACAGATAGTGTTTTTTTTTTCTTCTCTGTCTCAGCCTCTGGCGGCAAGAAGCGAGGAATGGAGTGAAGAATGGAGAATGACTACAAAATGATTACTCCGGAACGAACGGTGATGGCATGAACGGCTGATGCCGGCTGCTGCGCCACGCCCCGCTGAGATAATCAGTTGGGAATCAGAGAAGACACGAGCGGGTCTTGTAGGGCAGATAAACCGTCATCTGATTGGTCTCATGCAGGGTGCCGTGCAGGTGGCGGTGCAAAAGAGAAAAAGTGGAACCGTGCGTATTTCAAGGTTGCCATACGAATTGCCTTCACTGGGCTGCCTACCTAAAGGTACCTGACGTAATGAGCCCAATTGGGCAAACACTACGGCGGGGAGTACCTTACCTTGCCTGTTAAAGTACTACTACGTACTAGCCTGGCACAGTACTACCTAGTACTCGGTAGGTACGCGAAGTATAAGTGGTACGAGTAGTTTGTCAGGTTTGCGTTCCGAACTTCGGATGGGCTGTATATCTTTGTGATAAACAATGTCATTGATGAGGGAACCTACCAGTACCAGCAGTATCCAAGCTTAGCTCTATAGCCAGTTGGCCGCTTCAACCATGGGACTGCCCATCCTAGGAACCGGAACAAGATCTTCCGCGGTGCATTGTTGTTGACTTGTTGACTAGGGTCTATGTCCCAGATCCTCCTCCCTTACAGTATACTCCATTTCGTATCTCGTGCCCAACCCCCTAGATCTCAATTGGTCAACCCGGGCCAGTCTATGCAAGTCATTCAGTCAGTCATGCCAATCACCGTCGAGTTCGTATCACAAGTCATTGTACTCTGCGGTCAGTACTCACCGTACACCATTCGTTCATCCATGAGTCGAGTGACAACCACCTCATCACCCACCTGCACTGTCTGACCCTCCGACTCACCGTCGAGAAAGACATACCGACCGAAGACTGGGCTAAATTTCGCCCCTTTGTCGACCCTACGGTCTTTCATCAATTTCTTCAACACATTGCCCATCTCCCCCTGTGCCATCGCGCCCGTCGCATAGTCGACATTCAGACTCTGACACCGAACGCAGTTGGCTGTCAGCAGCAGCCGCGCTTTTCCTTCTTTGCCAGACCCAATAACCACCTCCGCCCAGAAGTCTTCCTCGAAGGCCTCTTTTGCGCCAGCCACAACAATGTTTGGGCGGAACTTGGTGACATCCATGTCCAGGCCCCCTCCCAGCCGCTCCGACACGTTGTCCACCGATGTCGCCGACACTAGCAGATACGGGGCCGTATCCGCGAATGTGATGCGTTCCTCTCCTTCCCCTCTTGCACCGACTCGATCATAGATAGCCTTTCCCCAAAGCATAACCACCAGCAACACGATCACAGCTGCCGCGCTGGACATCGACAGTGCTTTCTGTGCGCCCGTCGTACTCAAGCCCACTAGTAGATTGAACAAAAGGGTCATCCCAGCGATCCCAACCACTGTCCCCGCAGTGAGCATGCCCGCATCATTTTTCTTTCCTTTTGGCTTTCCTGTGGTTTCTTGCTTGATCACCCCCGCATGCGCTGCACTTTTTGAGGGCTCGAAACTCCCGAGAACCCGCCTCGAATGTGGTCCCAGGTAGGCCAGCACAACGGGGTATCCGAACCACTCGCTGAACCAATCATTATACTGCGCCCCCATATTATATCCCTTCGTGGGGCTCTGATGCATCACGATGGCCAGCTCTTCCAATTGCCGCGTGTCAGGACAAAGGGGGAGGTGGAGGATGCGGGTTGATTTGGTGCCATTATCATCACTGAGGGTCTCGCTCGCAGCTGGCCGAAAGGTCACTATAATCTGTCCTGGTTCCGTACCATCCTCGCTAGGGAGGACAATCTCGGCTTGGAAAAGGGACATTTCTGGAAAGTGTGGAATATGCATGTTCTTCAAGGTGCCATCGTCAAGGACCTTCAGGAGCATGAACCGGCGATCGTAGAGAAAGCCTGTTCGGGTGACGGTAGCGGACGAGAGGGCCGTCCCACGAATCGACTTGATAGGGTAAGTGTATAGCTAGATAGACGATGAGTTAGTCTTCATGTATTTCTGATCACGTCAAGCGAAGGGTTCCAGCCCATATCTCGGAAGCTTGGAACCCTTCATCTCGCGAACGAAAGTCAGGTGAAGATGATGTAGAACTCACTTGGAGAAGTTAGAGAACAGACATACCTGGCTGATATGCATGGCTGCGAGATGGCTGGGTATGCAGCGTAGTTGTTGCTGTTTCTATCAATGATACGTCAAATCAATTTGGAGCCTCCCTCCCTTGGACCTTGAAACAGGATACGGGCGTCATGTTGTTGGGGGCCAACTGATACGGAAACGAGCATCTATTGCACGTGCTGATTAGCTATCTTAGGTATGTATGAGTCAGACTAAGACTCGATCGATTCCATTGATCAGTTACTCAGTAACTTGGTAAGTTAAATATGCTGTTGTTGGGGCTGTTTCAGGTTCAAGACAACATAGAGAAAGTGTTTTATCGGCAGTGATGGTATCTGATCGAACATGTTGCAAGAAGTGGTGGTCTAAAGCAATGTGCAGCACAGTAGTTACGCAGTACGGAGTACTTAGTAAGTCAACTGTTGCGACTTGCAAGTGCGGTACAATGTCTTGCATACTGAATCATGAAATTCGGGTGATGACAAACCGCTTCGGACAAGATATTATCCGACCGATTGGAAGAGACAGTGCCGTGGGTGCCAGCCAGTTGACTGACTGTATCCTACACTCACTACAAATTATTCCTCAGTACGGAGACTTGGTTGACAATAACAAAGTCTCCTTTTTTCCCATACTATCCGACTTTCGCATTGGGAGCCAGAGCCAGAGCCAGAGCCAGAGCCAGAGCCAGAGCCAGAGCCAGAGCCATAGAAATTAAACTATTTCCCTCCATTAATTGAACCTTGTTCTTTCCCGAGACACCACAGGCTGAGCCATTCTGAAGTGGGCAAGGATGTTCAGGAGTCGCCCAATTGAATGGGTCGGTCCATCCATGACTTCCACGGAACACCTCCTTCTCAGGAACACCACCTCCCACTCACAGAGTCTCCTCAACATACTTGGTTGACTCTAAAAACAGAGTCTTTCTGACTAGTTAGGCTGATTGAGAGTAAGACCCTGAGGAGGGGAGGGAGGGGAAAGATGAGAATAGACCCCTAGTCTAGTGCAATGAGGAGCTCGAATCCAAGTCTAGCCTCGGGCGGAGGGTTGGAGTTGTTTGTTTTCCCCTCTGGTAAGTTGGTCAACTACAGTACGTATACTAAGCAAGTTGGAGACCAGCTGATCGAGCCAAGCCCTACCTGGTGCCTTGCATCCTGCACTACTCCGTACCATCACCATTACTCCGTATTACCACCACCACCAACCACTATTGCCATCAAAGTACAAAGTACTAAGTACGGAGTACACACAGTGACACACCGTCTCTTTGCACGAACACTGCACTCGATTCCCCTAGTCAGGCACACACGAGCTGAAGAACGCCTTCATGCGTGGAGCCCTGGCAAATATTACGGATCCGCCCCCGCTGGAGGTGAAACAGGCTAGTAAAGCAACTAAACCCTCATGGATTGCACGCGTTGATGAGATTTCATTTAATCTCCCATAGAAAAATGACTAGTCAACCACCAGTCCAGGAAATGAGGTAGTCGGCTGTAGTCTAGTCCCTGAGTGATCATCCGTTGGCCTCCTTTTTCTACGCCTCCTCCGCCCTCTTTTCTACCTCTTCCTCCCTCTCTTTTCTCTTCCCTCTTTCTCTCTTTCTCTCTCTCACCCCACGCACTCGCTGTTTCACCTTTACAATCCCGGTCTCCGCGCCGATTACGTTCTTTATCTCGACACAGTCGATCAATCCCGTCAATTCGTCACTCTTTTTGACACCAATATAAACTCAGCGCAAATCAATTCTCCGCCAATCTCGAGCCCTCTACACACACACACACACACACAACAAATCCATAAACCACCCGTCAATCATTCATCATGCGTGTCTCTTCAGCTGCTGTCGTCGCCTCCCTGGCTGCCGGTGCCATCGCGACCGAGTACAAGACCGTCGTTGTGACTGAGTATGCCACTTACTGCCCTCAGGCCACTTCTCTGGCTGCCGGTCCCGGTACTGCCAGCCAGGGTAACCCCTCTGCTGCTCAGGTGAGTATTTATGTGTGAACCTGGTTGGATGCCTATGAGACTAACTGCTGGACAAGCCTTCCACCGTCACCATCTCCGGCACTGCCTACACCTACAGCACTCCTCTGGTCACCTCCACTGTGACCCACTGCGACAAGTGGTACGTCTCTCTCGTGTGCCCTTAACGGGAAGTGAATCGCTTTGACTGACAAGGACGATCTAGCTCTGCCACCGCTGCTCCTGCCACTGAGACCGGTGTTGCTGTTGTCACTGGCACTGGTGCCACTCCCAGCACGGGCTCGGGCTCGGGCTCGGGCTCCCCTAGCTCCGGCTCCGGCTCCGAAGCCTCCCCTAGCGGTGCTGATGCCGTTGGCACTGGGCCTACCCCCAGCTCCGGTTCCGGCTCGACCCCCGGATCCACTGGTTCTGAGACCTCCCCCAGCGGTGCCTCCTCTGGCAACACTGGTTCTACTCCCAGCTCCGGCTCGGGTTCCTCCGGTTCTAGCACCGGCTCTGAGTCTTCCCCCAGCGGTGCTTCTTCCGGTAGCACTGGCTCTACCCCCAGCTCCGGCTCTGAGACCTCCCCCAGCGGTGCTTCTGCCGTTAGCGGTGGTTCCCCCAATCAAGGCTCCAGCTCCTCCGGCAGCTCCTCCGGATCCTCTGGATCCTCTGGATCCCCCGGTGCTGGTGCTTCCTCTCCCAGCGGAGCCACGGGAGCCCACCCCGAGGGAGTCAAGCCCACCCCCGGCCCCAGCGGAATCTTCTCGACCCGCCCCATGATCCCCTCCGGCCGTCCTTCTTCCAAGCCCATCCCCTCCGCCTCCGCCAGCCCCGTGGCCAGCGCTAGCTCCAGCTCCAGCTCCTCTTCCTCCAGCACCGGCTCCTCCCCCGAGGGTGTTTCCGCCCAGGGCACTGGCTCCAGCTCCGGTTCTGCCACCAGCCCCTCCGCCCCCGTCTTCACTGGCGGTGCTTCCCGTGCTGCCGTCGGCGCTGGTGCCGGTCTCGCCACCGTCTTCGCTCTCGTCGCCTACCTGTTGTAAGCTGCCTTTCAGTGTACCTGAAATGCTGAAAAGGGGGGCGGCTCTTGTTGTATAGATGGCCCGGGCAAGAAGGGATAACCCGAACAGATGGAGTGGTTGTAGGAAGCCCCAAAGCTTCCCCCTATCTCTTCTTCTTTTCGGAACATCCTCGCTTTCGCTTCGGGCCCATACCCGGACTATGAAGAGAGCAGAAAACAAAATCTAATCCATTCCAATGCCGAATCACTACTGCTGTTTCCGATAATGTATCTCCTATCGTCCTCCAGCTGCAATCAACCACTAAATTCTGTTCTACCTTGAAGGGAAAAGAATGGAAAAAAGAAAGGAAAGCGACGCAAGATGGTGGCAGCCGACTGCAGTGGGAGGGGAGAGATGCCTGATCTGATCTCGCCGTACGTGACTGAAGTGATTGGTAAATGGGCGGGGATGTTGGCAAGGACGGTCTCCTTTGTTCGCGTGTCTTTCCTGACTTTGACATGTTTTTGGTGTACTTGTGTGAATATCTTTTTCTTTTTCTTTTTCTTTCCTTCTCCCTCTCATGACTTGCCATATAACTCGGTTTGATTCTTTTATGATGGCTTGCGCTTTTTTTTTTTCTCTCTTTTCCCCTTCCTAACTTCGATGACCCATATTATCTGTTTTCCCTGGGCTTGGGCTTTGCATGTCTTTACCACCTCCCTTTTCTTTTTTCTATCAGCCCTTCTCATCTTGTGTATAATTTTAATGTCGATGTGTGAGGCATGTTCCTCGGACCACTGATTCGATTGACCTAAATTGTGCAAGTGAAAAGAAGTCGAAAACCAACTTGATTCTCCGTCCTTCGATCCCATCCCGACTCCACATCATCACCAGAGCTCTCCTCGTAGCCCACACAAAGCTCATCCAGATGATCGGATTCCCTTGAGCACCATTCCTGCGTCATGATAGTATCCCCACTACCACTTCCCGCGTGGCCGACTGACACCCCTCCCGGCCCCGCTTTGTTTATTGCTAGACCGCAACAAGACTTTGTCATACGGTGCCCCAGTACCGCCAAGGGAGAAGAGATATGCAAACTTTAGATATCCCCCATCCCCACCGTCATCAAGCGGTAGCTCAGGTTAAGTGGTAGCTCAGCACTGTCGTACGAATTGAGTGAAAAAAGGGCCTAGGTAGGCAGCCTGCAATGCAAGTGACCTACATTACATCCAAGTCGTGCTTCGCCTCGAGCAATGCCACCTCGTTGATCAAGATCAAGTGGGCATATATGTACAATCTCCTGTGTCCTCATCCAATTGTGATCTGGGGGGATTTTCCTCCCTTCATCCACGCCCCTACAAGAGTTCCGGTTGTTCGACGCAGTCTTCCGTGAGCGCCCCCTAGGTCTTCTGATCGTCTAGCATTTCCCGCAATACTAGTCTGGGGGGGAAGAAAGGACTGGCCCAAAATTTCCTGGATTGAAGCGTTTCATTCATATTCTCCCTGGATGGCTTACTGATACTAAGGTACTCTCGCCCTTACCTACACACACACACACACACACACACACACACACACACACACACATACCGCCTGAACAAGTTCAAGACAAGGAAAAAGCAAAGGAACTGGGAGAGACTGACCGACCGCTGTCAAGACTGCAGCTATCCGTGCTGGAAACAACCACCACCACCACCACCACTTTTTGTTCTTGTTAAAATATTCAACAGACGAGGGAAATGCGGGAGTACCTGGTGGTGCGTAGGATCGGCAGAGATGCTTCAATCCCAACCAAACGTCTCCATGGTAAAATCCTTCGTTAAGGACCAGAGTGTTTAAGTCAGAGCATCGGGCTAACAAAGTGACCCTAGCCACACAGACAAAATAAAACGACGAACTAGAAAAAGAAAAAAAAAAAAAAAGAAAGACGAAAGCGCAAGGCGAAGAGGATACTGGCATGAACTCATCTCCTCTCACCGGTAAGAAGCAGAGCGCCTAGACAAACTGGCGCAAAACGCTCCCTGCGGGCAACTGCTTTAGAATGAAGTTGTGTTGAAACCTAGCCTACCTTAGCCCCACAGTTTCTGCAGATAGCTACTCGTATGTCGCAGAGCCCGCCAAGTATTGCGACGAGATATCGATGATGTACAGTACCCAGAGAGCTGCAGGGCGAATGCATAGTACGATCTTATCCAGAGATCCTCCCCGTCTGCCACAACGGGGTAGGGGAGTTGCGCTTTCTCCCCCGTCAGTCATACTTCAGAGCATCATGGATAAGTTGCCATTGCTCATTGGGTGGTGATGGATGCAGTTGTCATTTGTTGAGATCTCCCCATCTTGTAATTAACTTACCTGGTAGTCTCGATGGGCTGTAGCCAAATCGGCCCCACTAGGCAAGATCCTCGGATTACCTTATTTATTGTTCATACTATAATGGCCGGACCACTGACCCTGGTACGGCTAGCATGTCACTTGCAGCTGTGCTGCATGACGCCATCGGAAGCGCCCGGGACCTTGAAGGGAGATCAGACGAACTCGTTCCTGCGTAAGTAGAGTGAAGAACGTGATTGTCTGCTTGGTTGCTTGCTTGCTTGCATGATCAAAAAGATCAGCGTTATGAGGCAAAACCACTAGATTTGCACGCGCACTAGAGAAAGAGACTGAGTAGATCCGAAATATAGTATGTAGATAGAGAGTAGAAAGCTGTGGGAGGAGATAACGTCCCTGGCCTTAGATGATCAGGGACACCTCGTGAAGAGCATAGTGTCATTTCCACATTGCATTCTATCATTTAATGTATTGGGTCTTCTTTTAATCTTTTGGTCTTTTGGTGGGGGTACAGATGCGTCAACATGAGCACAGCAAAATCAATGGTTTAAGAACAGAAAGGAGAAAAATAGAGGAGAAGAGGGGGGGGGGGAAGGAAATAAAGGAAAGGGAACAGAACAAAGCACAACTCATAAGAGTTCAGCCGTAGGGTATCATATCGCAATGCCTGCTAAACGGTCGACTGCCATGTCGTTGCTGGCTTCCAAGCGAACCATTCATTGAAATCCCATGTCCACCAATAATCTCCATTGCGCCCATCACACTCTACCACCCTGATGTGGCTTTCATCCGATTGTAAGGTTGTCGGTTGCTTTCATGCTGTTGCCTTGCACCATGGTGAAGCAGGGTTGAAAGCAGAATTCATATCCAGGTTGGGGCGGGGCCAACGGGCATCGAACCACAATAGCAATAGAAATAACAAGATAAGAATAGAACAGGAAGAATGAGAACCACACGCAGATTATCGCGAAAGAGCGCAGATAACAGACAAGAAAGAGGGCATATGAGGTGCGAATCTTTCTTTGGTACTAGGAGCTCCTAGATCCGCAACCCTTTGAACCACAATACCCTGCTGTAGTCAAAACACCCTGCGGTAGAATCCAAGAAATGATCACCCGCGTACAACACAGAGAATAGATAATCGCAATTCATGCATCAAGCATAGCCTGATGCTCTGCCTGCATTGGTGGAACAAAGTGCACCCATGGTAGCAAAAAAAAAAGTACTTTCAATACAGCATAACACAGCAAACGGAATGATTTGCAGGCTGCACTCTCATATAGGCCGTGAAGATCGGCGAAGCGTCTAGCAGCCAATATGAGTAAGGGTACGATAATAGATAGATGTCGTGAGTTGGATTGAACGGGTTTTCGTAAGAAAAGTCACATGTGCGGAAGGTTTTGAGCCCTGCCACCGGCCCATTTCCTGACTCTCGGCAATTGTGTCTTGCGCTTCCTTGCAAGGTCTAGACCAGTATTGAACGGTCCGAAATAGAGCCAGGCGGCTGCATGTTTATATATTGCCAAGATCATAGGATTGTGCACTTGAAAGGACGTCGATGACTGCCATTGCGGTCGGGTCGGAATGACCGAGGATATTCGGGGCCAGGATCACGGGCTCCTCCTGTCGGCCGCCGGTCTTGCGAGCGGCCCTGCTGCTGACGTTGCTGACGGAGCATGCGCACGACGTCGTAGAATGCCTTTTCCACATTGATGCAATTTTTGGCGGAGGCTTCGACAAATTCGCACCCGAGGTCTTTGGCGAGAGCCTGTCCTTCCTGTGCTGAAACTGCGCGCTCGACAGCCTTGTCGCTCTTGTTGCCGACCAACATGACAGGCACAGGGAGCGAAGGGCCAGAAGGGGTGTGTATGGGCGAGCCCAAGTAGCTAGCACCTGAGGGCGATCCGGAGTTGGCTGATTCTTTCACCATCTTGATCTGATTATAGAACTTCTGTATGCGGGAAAAGGAAGCTCGCGAAGTGATGCTGTAGACAAGTACGAATCCCTCTCCGTCGCGAATCCACTGATCCCTCAGTGCTGTGTACTCTTCCTGGCCGGCGGTGTCCAACACCTCCAACATGCATGATTGCTGGTCAATGACCACTTGTTTTCGGTAGGAATCTTCGATGGTCGGATCGTAGGTTTCAACAAAGTGATTCAAGCACAACTAGAGCGAAAGAAAGGGGGTCAGTTGGCCGAGGTTGAGCGCAGACATTTATGGTAGCAGCTAACCTGGATAGTGAGAGCCGTTTTCCCTACACCACCGTCTCCGAGCACCACCAGCTTGTAAAGTGTCATTTTTCCCGACATGATGGTTTAAGTATCTGTTTCGTGGGTAAGGAGTATGATCACTTTTTTCAAGACACCTGGCGTAAGGTGAAGAAGCCAGAAAGCGGTATTCTGGTAGAACTGCCGAGTGTAGAGAGAATGAGGGAGAAATGAAAAGGTGAAGGCGAGAGAGATGTATGCGGGCTCCACGGCGAGCACGGACGCGGAAACGGAGCGTTGCGAAACGATGGGGGTCCGAAGAACTAATTGGGTAGTGCGATTAGCCACTCAAAACCAAAGCTCTTAGACCGCTGCCCAAGCTCGCATACCCACCCCGGAAATGAGACGAACAACAAGTGTCCACGGCAAGACTTCGGGAAGAGCAAAGAAATTATGAGAGTAAAAATACTAAATGAGGCATACCTGGATCAATTGATATGGTGATGGAAATAGGTTTTGAGTAGCAGTGCGACAAAGACGTATTGCTGGTAAAGTTGCGTTGGCGACCTCCGAGAAAGTGGTGATGTGGGTGTCTGAGAAGCGGGTGTGAATTAAGGAGACTGAGGTTGAAGTTCGACGAGAAGTTCCGAGTTGACTCGAGGAATCTCAAGTAAGCGGCCACCCACAGTTGCAGAAGGGTACAAGCAAGCGGGCGGAGTTTGATCGATTGGCTGACCCGTAACTCCGCGTGAACCGGGGGGGAATGGGAAAGCGATTGCGGGAGAGTAGGGGGAGGGGGGAGAAATTCCCCAGAAGAGGAGGAGGAGAAGCGGGAATAATCAGATTAAGGAGGGATCACTGAAGTTCGCACAAGTTGCGAGACAAAAAAAAAAGATGACGATTAAGTTCGAGATTATGGGTGCTTCACAATGAATGCTAACCACGTGAGAAGAGGGGCGAGATCGCAGTGAAAAATTGTCAGCAAGGGATTAATTGGCAGAGAAGTCAGCCTGCGTAGATGAGCTTAAGGTAGAACGAACGACTTTCTGAATTGAGTTGGCGGGAAGGGAGAGAGGGGTATATGCGCAGGACCAAGAAGCAAGAAAGGCTTGGCCAGTCGGAGAAGTGTCAGAGGGAGGGGTTGACCTATAGATCTCTGTCTCGATCCAAGACCTTCCGCAGCTGGATGAATAGGTCCCTGGTTTAATACTGGAGAGATGGAGGGGGGGCCAGGGTAGCGGGCGAGCTGAGAAGACAGGGAGCAATGAGGTAGAGAGGGGTGATTAGAAGTAAGTGGGAGAAGAGAGAGAGGGAGGGAGAGAGGGTGAGAGATGGGGTGAGAGGGAGGTAACTAGAGACGACCGAAAGATGTGACTAAAGGTAGACTAATCGGGAGGTAGGGTTAGGAAGGAATGGCTGAAAAGAAAACAAATCAAACTGACAAGAGAAAGAGACAGACAAAAAACGCGCGAGAGAAAGTAGAGAAAGCAAAGAGGCGAGGTTAACAGAGGAGGAATATTGGTTGATAAAAATGAAGCAGCGGAGACCGTGATCCCTGTCGCCGGAGAACAACAGCAACAGCCGCGGTTTAGTCTGTTTAAGATTGGTTGGTTGATGATTTCGGTGCAAGCTGTGTTGCACTAGCTTTAAAACGACGAGTCCCTAGGGGAAGGGGAGGGGAGCGTAGGGGGAGAAGGGGAGAGGGGGGGTGGTGGTGGAAGGCAATATGGTTTAGGAAGGGAAAAGATACGAGAGGGAAAAGAGGAGAGTAGGAAATGTGGGAGGTTAAGCAAACAGAAGTCGGACGTGGCGTCGTGACTACGGAGTACTAACTATGTAATATAAGTTGAGTAAGTATTGAGTAGTGAAAAGCGTGCCAATTGCCTACCTATGTACAACATACTGTACAGTTACTTTATCAGGCAGGTAAATTATCATGAAAGGCCCCGGGGAAGAGAAACTGTGCAAGGTGACTTGACCACGGAGTACAGTACATTACAATACAATACAATCTTCTGCTAGCAGTCTGCAGTCTGCATGCAGCCACTTTCGGCTTGCCAGTACAATACATTATCATACAACATCCCTCTAATAATCCGTCTCTTCTGAAAGGATTGTTGATTGTATACTCTCATAACATAGCCATAGTACAGTCGCTGGACGCCAACTCTGCGCTTCAATCACACTCTTATGGAATATTCTAAATTATGTAAGGTTCTTATTGCCTCAAATCCAAGCATCCCATAGGCTCTTGTTACACATTTGAGCTGAGAAATGGAAACAAACCAGCTACAACAGCATTCACTCACTCAGCCATGATAGACTCGAGATTCAAGACTTTACTCTTGGCTCGCACTTAGACCACGAGTACGTTTGAACTCAATCCGGTTGCTAAGAATCTTTGCTTTCCTGATACAGGCCTAACCGACAACCCGAGGCTTCCCTACAGAGTTCCAAGGTTCCAACCCATCGTATGCTTTGACCGATTGATACTCCCGTCGGTGCCTGCGCCAATGATCTGAACATTGCTTCCATGTGTTAACCCCTACCCCCACCGCAATTCCTTTGTTTTCTGAGCGCATTGCAAGCCTTCCAAGTACCCAGTATGCATGAATGTATGAACCATGCAGTCAGTAAGTATTCTTCAGGATGGTTTCGGGTAGACACGAAGTGGGTGCTCAACGGCACTAGTACCTTCATGGCTGCTCCCCACACACAGAGAAAAGACGTGGTATCGGTGGTATTAAACTACACCCGGTCGGTCAGGAATCGCATACCAGACTCATGTGTCTTGCCTCAAGTCTGATGTGGTATCACCCGTGCTTCAGGACGTTTTGTCACACACTCTAGATCGCGCAGGGTCAATTGACCTGGTGGCAACCAAGAGATTCGGGATGTGTCTCAGGTTCGGATGGATGCCTTCAAGTATACAGCAATTATGGGCTATCGTCTGGACCAACCGATGCAAAACAGGCGAGGACCCATCCGTCCCGCGCAGCAGGGAGATTTTCACTGTTGGTGATGTCCTTAGAAATCATTGTTCCACACAAGTGCTACGGGGAGAAGGGTAGAATATTCCGCGGCCCCGTAGAAGGAGACTAAAACCCATCTTCCTGATTATTGGGATTCCCAAAGCGTAACTTTCCCGGTCCCAGAATAATCCCACCTCCAAGAAAGTCGCAATCCATGTCAGAATTTTCTCTGGTAACAAAAGCGACATGAAACGATGAGGAGGTGAGGACAAGAAAGGAAACTAGATAGAGTGTAACAGGATACCATCCCACTTCTCATCCTGCGGCTGCTACTGCGGCTGCTGCTGCTGCCATACCATATGTATCTACACACTTCCCTTTGCCTATCTCCTGAGTGCTGAGGAGAACCGAAGCTCAGCAGCAGTTTTCCTAAGTATATGACGTCTAGGCGAAGTTGGCGAACCCTCTGCCAGTCCAGTCTAGTTTGGGCCTCCCGAGGAAAAGGATAATCCGTGATAGCTAAGCAGCCCGGTGGATCCCAATTAACCCCTATTATCACATCGGTACTCGGTACACGGAAGGTACTCCAACCTGATGAGCTTCCAGAAAAATCATTGAATTGCTTCTGGAAGGCACTAGGCTTCTATGACATCAGTTTACTGCGTCTCCTGCTACTATCTATGAATCGACTCCTAACAGGGATTCCACGCACCAGCGAGAACTTGAGGCGCAGCCGGAACAGAGAAACAGATGTCGGGCCGAGCCATAGTGTGAGCACGGGAGGTTCTTGTTCTAGTTCTAGTAACCCAACCAGTCTGACTGACTGACTGACTGATTGATTGGCAACTCTGCTGGAATGGAGGATGAATGTTCAAAAGGGGAGACAGATGAGCCTAGGATTTGGATCGGCGGCTAGGCCGACAAGCAGCGTTGGTTGAGTGAACACACGATTGGCAGAAAGAGTGCCTTCCTTCCAATCAATGCTTATCAAGCAGTTAGTCTGGGCTCTTGCCAATGGCCAACCAGAATGACAGTCAAATTTAATCTTAATATGAACCAGCATACTACAGCGGCGTTTCCTGGCGAGGTTCACCACAGCTCTTCCGCCTATCTAATTTCCCAGCCCCGGCTTTCATCCCACGTGGAATGCTACTAGCTCTCGGAGACTGCACCGCAGCGGTCCGTATTCCCGAATCAGTTAGATCACTTTACTGTCGATACGTCGTTGGTAATCTGAGTATGTGTCCTTTCCCAATTAAACTGACTCGGTCCTCTTCAACAGCAGATTTCGAGAGCACTAGTTCTCAATAGGCAGCTACCATGGTCATTCATGATCACCAGCCATGATAAATCATGCTGCATCATTCATCAACCATCATGTCATCGTTAGGGTGCCTAAATAGGCCGGCTTGTGATGACTAACTACATGTACCTAGTTATAATTAAGTTACAGACGCAAGACATAAGTCATCGTCTTGTCATACTGACTATTGTATTTTGATAGATATGCAGCTAAGGAAGTTAGGAACATACTACACATTCATATGCACCGTGGGTGGATAAAAACCATCATGGATACGGAGAACGGGATCAGGGGCCGGCGTCCCACCGCTATGGGACGGTCGCTGACTTGCGGCAACCACCCCTGCCCACTCGAGCACATGGCCATTCCCCGTGCACCTTGACAGTTGGTTACCAGTTGTTACGAGTTGTTACCACTCCGTTACACTCTGTATGGTAACAGCAGATCTCGTAAAAGTGACGAAAGCAAATTAGACATGACGTGGATAGTCAACATAAAAGATACAACCGAAAAGCGCGGTACTAGTTAACTACTTTCTATGATGGCATCAGGGGAGATGAGAAGGGGGGAGGAGGAGGTGGTGGTGGAGATAACTAGAATGCCAAGTCTCCCATGGATACAGCGACAGCAATTGATCCTTGGCTGTCCGGTCGTATACGTAACCTGGCTTGCAGCATGAGATGAGATGACGCTGGATGGAAGAATGAGGAGAGTAGAGTTAAGTATGAGTACAGTATAAAGAAGAAGATCGTGGATCTTTCCCATTCCACCTGCCTTACGCTACGTACCTACGTTAATCCTACTTGCCCCCTGGATGTACCCGATGCACTCGAGGCACCCAACCAGTGCACCGACCTCACGTGCGTTTCAGTTAAGTTCCATGGCTTCTCAAATGCCTGGCCGCCATCGGAACTGGATATCCAATGAAAACAAAATCTAATGAGTTTTCTGTACGAGCAAAGTCCAATCCATGACTCTGAAACTGTTAGGTACGACTGTGAACCCTTGTTTCTCGCGTGGTTGGGACATTTCTGGTAAGCTAGTCCGTTATCTGGACAATTGCGTCTTGGTATACTATTGTATCGAGCTGGAACACTCTGTCGTTGGAACTGGTGAAACACACTGCGATCTACCAGCCAGGAGTGCCCGAACACTGCCAACTGACTCTGTCTAACTTCTAATATATTCGACCTGAACCGACCTTTCAGCCAGCGTGAATCCTGTTTGCAGCCCGAGCTCCGGAGATCACCCGGCTCAACTAAGAGAGGAGGCACGACGATCCTCGCAACCTATTATCCCTGCATCGAGATCATAAAAAGGTGAATTACTACCCTATCTCCGTGACAATGGCGTTAGCTTAGGATAGCATGTCAGGGCCTCTATAGCTGTGAAACAGTACTGCAAGTGGGGTCTCTTAGAAATATAAACCCTTTCATGAGAAGGTATGCATGGGATAAGAGTGCGTTAGTCACATGGAGATCGCCAGATCGCCCCATCTAGCACTGATTAGTCTCTGCGCCATGCATGCCGCCCCTCAACCATTATAGGCTTGCAGGCAGGATGTCTGGAGCCGGGCCTGCCGGAATGATCGTCTGTAGGCTGCCCAATCGCTTCCCTAAAGACTTCAGGTACCCGAACTTATACTATCGGATGACATTAGTGATAGTCCTATTTTGATGTATCAATGCCCGACTCACAATTTCGAAGAACGTAGTCTTCTTGAATGCTCCGCCTTGGGTACGTGAGGTCTCATCATAATACAACCCCCGATACCAGCGGTCAATCAACGGGTAGTCATGCCTGATCATCTTGAGGTTGCACCGAAAGATCAAATAGTAAGCCACATCAAATCGAGCAATGGTCGGATACAATCGGATGTCTGCTTCCGTGATCTCTTTCCCGAAAAGATAAGGTTGATGCCCTGGCTGGGCCAGATGGTCTTCAATCCGATCTAGTGCTTCGAAAAGCGGGTATAGGTTGTCTAGATAAGCCTCCTGTGTCGTGGCAAATCCAGTTTTGTACACTCCGTTATTGATTTTGTCGTAAACCCATGAGTTCATCGCATCGATCTCAGCTCTCAAGTGTGGCGGGTAGAAATTTCCACCAAGCCGGTGGGTCTCTCGCAGCTCATGGGGAAGTAGGTCGTCGAACTCGGAATAAAACATGCGGATAATCTCGCCACTCTCATTGTTGACAATTGTCTCTTTTTTCTTGTCCCATAGCATTGGGACTGTGTATCGGCCTTCATAGTTAGGATCTGCCTTGAAGTAAAATTGGCTCAACCTCTCGAAGCCATACAAAGGATCCACTGGCGCAGACCCATATCTATCAGAGAAGAACCAACCGTCCGGTCCCAACTCGGGATCGAGAACAACTAGCTGGACTATATCATCTAGACCTTTGAGTGACCGGACTAAATTAGTCCGATGTGCCCATGGACACCCAAAGTTGATGTATAACACATAACGATCCTTCTGCGCCGGAAATTCTGCGTTAGGATCACGCGAGATAGAGGAGCGAAACGCAGCTAGTTTACGCCTGAAGTGGCCGTCCGCATCGGCATGAGAGTGTACGCCAGATTTCTAAGAAGTCAATAATGATCGCTCATCGACAACAGGTAATGCAAACCTCCATACCTGCTCAGACATTGTGATGACACCGAATTGTCAAAGATTGCGATCGACCATCACGATCACTGCATCAGAACCGTCCGGTCACCTTGAAACTAAATAGCCTGGCTGCTCGAAGACTGGGGGACTGATTACGAACCTGTGCTGACCGCTGACAAATCGACGCGCTGTTGTCATTCCTGCAACCCCGCATGAATTACAGGACTGGGCTTGCGCTGATAGACCAAGAGCTACTTGACTGGTTGAGAATCAATGCTACAGCATGCAGTCAGACTTGCGAAGCGATGACCTTGCGTTTGTGGGTATATTGATGAGATGTGTAAACGTTCAGTGCCTGCGATGCCAGAGGTATCATGATACACTGAGTCCAGGTTGGAGCCGACTGAGCCTGTGGGGCCGTATCGTATATAATTTTTCTTCCTACAACTCTGAAGCACGAAGACCAAGAAAAGCTCACCTTCAGGCCTATTGACATGTATTCGCTATGTCAGGGTTCTTCAGGAATGCCTAGGCGCCGGGCGACCTCGATCAATCCATCCGTGGCACCATCGACCCACTCGTCCACATACTGCTCTTTGGCTTGAGCAATCTCTTGAGGAGTGAGACTCTCCTCATTTCGTTCCACATAAATGGTCGCAAATCCTAGGGCTTTGGCGGCTTTCAGATCATAAAGGTGTGCAGCCACCATTGCACAATTGCGGGGATCCAGTCCAAAGCGCTTTGCTGCGCCAGTGTACACCTGCGGCGACGGCTTATATGCCCCAAAGTGTTGAGCACTGACAATATCCGTGAAGGGCAGAGATCCATGGCGTTGGAGGTCCTTCAAGAGAGAGACGTTGCCATTGGACAAAGTGCAGGTCCGGAAACGACGGTTGGGTAATTCAAGGCCGTTGACTGAATCAGGCCACGGCTCGAGTCGGTGCCAGGTGAGAACAAGCTCCCATAGTTCAACCTCGGTGAACAGTCCTTTTAAGTTCTGCTCGTGAAGCAGCTTCCGGATGGAGTGGAAATGGTGTTCATCAACGGAGATAAAAGCTTGGGTCGGGTCAAAGGTTCTTGTGAATCGCCGTAGGACGCCCTCCATTCTTCCACCAAATCCTGCCAGGCGTTGGAGGACATGGCCGTCGCGCGGGCACGCAGAGCGGACGAGAGTGTTTTCCTGGGTTCTCGCAATGCGCACTCAGCAGCTTCCCTCAGAGAGTTGGCGACACAATTACGCCATTCTACAATCGTTCGAAAGACATCGAAAAACAGCACTTTGAGAATTGATGTGTTCGCCATCAGAGCGTGAATGAGTTCCCGTAGCGATGAGCTTCCAAATTTCTGTTTCTCACCTCACTTTCTGTGCTCAGTCTAGTGTTATCTGAAGCTACTCAGTCCACGTGCAATTAATGAGAGCGAGCTTGATAGCGCAATTTATCGACGTCCCAGATCGTGGTTGTCGAGCCGAGGATAAGACGTGGCGGGGTAAGCTGGTTAGAGTCCATAGCTAACTTTAACTTAGTTAACTATACGTAATCGGTAATGACCAATGACCTGCATTGAGTTGATTAGTACTCCGTACTCCATAGGTAGGTAGTCACTCCATACTCCGATAGAACCATCGGGTCAAATAGGAAACTCACCAAGGGGGCAATAAGATCAATTTCGTTTGATGGACTAGAATGATAATCATGCGAGGCCCATCACATCTCATCATTAGCGTGCTAAGACATGCTGCATTTAGGTCGAAGGTCGGTCGGGAAGGCCTTCCAAGCTCTAAAATGAGTTAGTTATCAACTTATTGCATGGTCAATTGAAGAAACCTAAGAGAGGGGAGGAGAAGGAGGCAGGCTCTCTGCATTAGTCATCTTCTATTTGGTGATTGTGACAGCTGCAGCTGCAACCCAATGATCGCCGCGTTCAACGGCGCAGTCCCAGTTCGTTGTTCGACCCAGACATCCCCCTGGGGTCTCCAAGCAAACGTACTGTACATAGTAGGTACTGTGTTTCTTTCTTGCGGCTGTCTCTTCTTTCATTCTTTCTGCATTGTCCTAACCAATTGATAAATCCAGGGAGAAAGGTTTGAAAATGCTAGGTACTAGGTACTAGGTACTGCTGTATCTTGCCTATCTACCCGATATCTACTCCGTAAATGCCCTCTCTTTCCTTTGACAGCATCGAGGTCAGCATTGCAAGTGGATGGGCAGTTATTCCAATGCTGACTGACAACCCTCAGCATCCGAGACACTTCTTTCCGTGCACGGTTGACCTGTCAGTTCCAAGTCGCGCGCTTTTGCCCCTGAGCCGGCGTCCGGCAGGCGCAAAAGCTAGTCGTTTTGCCGCGTGGGTCGCCAAGGATAAAGCCAGTCTGGATGATTTATGGTACAGTACATACCGTACCTAAGTTACTATGTAGCTGCGAGTCTGCGACAGACTACTTATTCTCCACGTTCATCTATTTCAAGCTCCAGGCTGACTGACGGCCGATAGTTTTGCTATAAGAAAGTTCTCTAATTCCACAACCTGTCTAGTGCACATCATCATAGCCCTTCGATGACGATCGAATGCGAACGGACGCATTGCTTAACGGGAAACTTCCACCTTGAAAGGCCCTGCGAAAACTCCGTCCCCGTACCAATCGCCCGCCAAGGTCATAATTCACTATGATATTAATATCGACCCGCAGGTCCGAGATTTGTGCTGCCTGACAGATTCGTAAAATTCAGCCCATTTTCAAGCGCATACGAGCAGTCAAAGGAAGAACTACACCGGCGATTCGACCACCAAGGCTAAGCAAGGGCTTGTCGCTGCTCCGCCTCTAATTTCCGGAATGGGGTCACTTCTCAAAAGTTGAGCGCCGGCCCGTCCGTCGCCTCTGGTGTCTATTCCTGAACCAGGGAACGGCGAAAAAAAAGGGGTGGGGAGCTCGAGCTGGGCCGACCCAACATCCAAGGATCCTTCCCGGCTGGTTTTCTATGCTCGTTTTCCCCCTCAGACCTTGCTCGATCCTCCAGGATATTTCCAACTCCGACGTCAATTGAAAAGCACGAGGCACGCTGCACCAGCATAATGCTCATCGAAGCGCGCTCAGCGGTCCACCAGCGTACGTTGATCTATCCACCTCCTAAAATATTGCGCGAGTCTATTTGTAGGCTGGGCTCCCTCATATCGACTCATAGGGCTAGTCAGAGGAATACCGGACTTGACCAGTTCAATAATGGCGTCTACAACACGGGCCACGGATTTTCGATGATCAACTCGAAGGTAGACGCAATATTGAGAGCGTTTCCGATGATGACTTACTAAGTCACCACTGTAGGGATTACTGAGAGGCGAACGACAACGCTGCTTGCTCTCTTGCACGTTGACATCTGGTAAGCCTTCAGAACGCTATGCGCAAACGGACTGCCATTGTTCACCTACCCTGACCGGGTCAAGATGAAAATAGTTTGCTCAACCTGGCCAACAACGAAGAAGGGCTGGAATACAATCATCATAAAGTTATGATGCTCGGGAAGGATACACAATATCCAGAGTGCCAAAAGGCGAATTGTCTCAAAACCAGCGGGTCCCGGACTAACTTGACTAACTATAGTACGGAGTAACTAGTTAGTGTATCTAGCTCCACGACTAACTTACTGCCTAGCGCTTGACACGAACCCCCGTCACAACCGGTGCTTAGCACTCTGCGTCTCGAATCTAACTACAGCACCTGCAGCCTTCGCTACTGCATTAGTGACTTAATGGCTCGTGGATAAACACGGTTGGTTTTCTTTGTTCGTGGACTCCGTTTTGTTCATCCATTTTTCATGATATATGAAACTAGGTGATTCTTGTCCCTCCCTTTTCCATTATGGAAAACAGACAGTGACGATCTTCCGCCTAAATGGACAGGCAAGATAGTTGACCTCCTTTTCCCTCCCTCTCTCCTCTCTCCCCTCCTCTCGCCCTCCCACCTCCGACACGCGCGCCGTCGTTCTCTCTCCTCTTTTTCATCTTCTGCTTCCTCCGCCGCCTCCTTTTATTATCCCCCACTGGCTGAATCAACAGAGCTGATTAAGTTACTAGCATAACAAAGTTAGTCACTCATACTGATTACTCCGTAGAGTCCGCACATTCTTTCTTCCTCCTCCCAACCCATGTACCTGCATCCTCAGCCGAACCTGTCGCCCTACTCGAGTACAACCTCATCTCTATCTATCGAGATTTGATTGGATCGGGATCGCTCTCTAGGCCAGCAGTGGCAAGCTCTGGTGGAGTCGTTTGGTGACCTCTCCTCACTAACAAATAATTGGTAGGTACGTGGAGATTGCCTTCGATGATAACTCATCTCATTTGCGTTCCCCTTCCCCACCAAAGTATCCCACATCCACATCCCCCTAATCTAGCGAACACCCCTGGTTGAAGCTAACCCCGTTGGACTTGTTGTTCGTCCTTTTGTAACGTTGTCTAAGTTATCTCGTCCTAATCCAATCAATGACTATGACCGGCCGACTCTCTATCCGAAGCTCGGACAAGGTTTCTGTGCAGGCGCAAGCCCCAATTTAGTGCTTAATCGGGTGTGATCAAACAGACGCCTTCACTGATAATCTTTCCCTTCCCCTCAGATGGCCAGTCTGGCTAGAATCTCGGACCTACTGGGATGTGCAGTACATGATTTAATTTTGACCGGTTCTGTTTTTTCTTTCTTTTTTATTTATGCCTTTTTTTTCTAAAAAAGGCAAGGCAAGGCAAGATAAACCAAGACAAGGAAGAGAATATCATTCGTGTTTCCGGGTCCGCGACGCCGCAGTTGCGTTGCTACCAGATTCAGTACTTCGCCTCTGTTCCTCCATACTTCCTGTTCGACTCCCCCCACGTCGCCCATCATACTTCAAACACCTTCCCTTCCTCTCACTAAGTGACGGGCAGCGTTCTATACCACAGATATCTTGCTGAGTATCCTCACGCCCGCATCTGCCTGTTCTTTCTGCACGAATCGCCCAAGAAGGCCACAGGACGCGCAAGCGTCGAGTGCCGGCTTAATGTATGCCATTTCACTACCTCCAACCATGTTTTCGGCCTTTCGCTCTGTCCCTTGAACATCAAAGACTGACTGGTTATGATTAATGCTATCTGTTGTCTAGAAGTCGGAAAGTCTCCTTGATCGAGTCCTACAGCTACTGGTTGGCCAACTACTTGTTCTCCATCGAGGGGTCGGCGGAGCTATTCTACGCCACTCAGGAGACGCGGCATACATGGATGCTGCATGACACATTCCGGCAAGATCTGATTGATCCGTCACCATCAAGGGGATGCTTCTTCAAAGCTATCTCTTCTGATACGAAAGCAATGGCCGCCAATAGCATATATACCAGCTCTCCAGTGGCAAAGAGCTTTCCACCTCTTTCGTCTACACCCCCAAGAGCCCCGTCCATTCGATTACAAGTGGACTTAAGTGACCTCTCCTCATTCAATTCACTGCCAATTCACAGCTTCTCGCCCCCGGGTCTCAGCGACTATGATGATAATGTGGAGGACGACAATCTTTCACCGCTAGATCCGCGGCGGTTCACCCCAACTCTGCATGCCTCTTTGGTGTCAGAAATCCTTTCGCTCCGGCGAGATGTGGAGAGTAAACTGAAGGCGATTGAAAGTCTGGAGCATACTTTGGACGAATCACGTACAGAGAATGGCAGCCTTACTGAACGACTATCGAAGAGCATGAAAGAGTCTCGCTCGCTCAAGCAGCAGCTGCAGCTTCTGGAAGGTGGCTCGTCCTCCGCTATCAGTGAACTCGCCAAGGAGCGGGACCAAGCATTCGCAAACATTGCAGATCTTCGCAAGAAACAGGAGCAAGCACAAAAAAAGGCTCGCAGTCTCGAAGAGGAGACAGAAAGAACAGTGCAGCTGTGGGATCGAGAGAAGGACAATTGGGACCGGGAACGCAGAACCCTGGAACGGAAAATTCATGTGGTTGAAGGTCGGCTGAAGGTCGTCTTGAATGAGGTGGCTGCAGCACAGGAAGCACGCTCTTTTCATCCCACGCGGGAGAGCGAACGCGTGACAGGCGCCAACGAGAGGCTTACAAGCAAGGACAGTGATTCCACGAGCATCGTCTCAAGCAGCGAAGGACGCCGCCGGACCAGCATCACGAGTATTAGTACTGGCAACTGCGACGAATTCGACTACCACAATGTACGCTACTCTATGGCAAGCGTTACCAACTTTCCTGTGGTCAAAAGTGAAGGATTGAATTTGGCCCAAGAGCTTGCTTTTGATGAAGATGATGAGTTTCAGTCTTTCGACCACAGCTTCAGACCTGTATCTCCTGAGGCTCTACCAGAGGAGCGGCCCGTCTCGGTACATTCACAGCTGTCCAGCACAATAAGCATGGGGGCAAAGGCTAGGAAAATCCTGGGACTTTCGCTTGGTAGCATGGAGGGTTATGGTGCCAAGAATGAACCAGCGTCGGAGCCTGGTAGCCCTCTGAGATTCTCTTCAAACACATTCGTGTATCGAGATACCGGGGTGCAGTATTCTCTTCCTCCGTCACCCACATCGGACTGCCTACCTGAGATCGACGCCTCAGCTCGGGCT